TACCAAAAAGTTCCTATTTTGGTTTCATCTGACCATATGATAATTCTCCCAGTCATCTTCTGGATCATACAAATGCTCTCTAGCAAACTTGAGACGGTCCTTGACATGTACTGGCTTAAGCAGGGGGACGAGTCCCTGGCGGCATAGTGCGTTACTGAAGGTAGCCTTTGTTACTTTGGTCCCAGCTCTCTGCAGGTCATTCACTAAGTTCCCCCGTGTGGTTCTGGGATTTTTGCTCACCGTTCTTGTGATCATTTTGACCCCACGGGGTGAGATCTTGCGCGGAGCCCCAGATAGAGGTCTTGTATGTGTTCCATTTTCTAATAATTGATCCCACAGTTGATTTCTTCACACCAAGCTGTTAACCTATTGCAGATTCAGTCTTCCCAGCCTGGTGCAGGTCTATAATTTTGTTTCGGGAGTCCTTTGACAGCTCTCTAGTTTTGGCCATGGTGGAGTATAGAGTGTGACTGTTTGAGGTTGTGGACAGGTGTCTTTTATACTGATAACGAGTTCAAACAGGTGCCATTAATACAGATAAGGAGTGGACGTCAGAGGAGCCTCTTACAGAAGAAGTTACAGGTCTGAGACCCAGAAATCTTGCTTGTTTGTAGCTGACCAAATACTTATTTTCCACCATATTTTGTAAATAAATTTTTAAAAAATCAGACAATGTGATTTTCTGAATTTTTTTTCTTCTTTTGTCTCTCATAGTTGAGGTATATCAATGAAGACAATTACAGGCCTCCCTCATCTTTTTAAGTGGGAGAACTTGCACAATTGGTGGTTGACTAAATACTTTTTTTCCCCACTGTATACTGCAAACACATGAACAAGAACATATAAAAGCAATTGAGACATGGGTGAAAAAAAAGTTGAACAAATATTTTTGGTCCTATTTTGCAATTCTATCACAAGCAGAGTGGTGAAAATACTCAGACCTCATACTGATGCAAACTGGTGAAGTTTCAGTGAAAGGTCTACCTCAGAATTAGACCTTTTAAAGGGCAACCTGGCAATGATATGCAGCATCATAAAACTAAACTGTTATAAACATACAAATAACATCCACAAAAACAAGTGTTAAATGAGTGCATACAAATGAATGGTTTTTGTTTCTATTGCAAGTTTTACACAAACTACATTGCGATATACATTGCTACCACCATCCATAATAAAAAAATAGCGTGATACAAATTTTATGCCAAATCACATATCTCTACTGTCTAACACTCGTTTTCCTCATTCACTGTAGGTTCAGTCAAAGTCATGGAGCTTCCTTTGACCACTGATGTTTTGCTTCTGACTCCACCTTAGCAGGAACAGTTCTTTTGCTGTTAATTTTATAATAAAGAATCTCTGGATCAGTCTGAGTTTGCCACTCACTCACAGTTTAAGCTATAAAGCTAATCAGTCTGTTCACAAACCCTTTCTTTGTCTGGGTAATAGACTAAATATGATGGGCTGTTTTTCTCCAAGAAGCCCTTATCACACCTTTGAGCTAACATTTTCCTGTTTTGTTTATATGCATAACACACTGATCCAAACTCCTTCATTTTACAAAGATAAGGCTTCTTTCCTGTCAGCATATTGCATGCAGTTTTCTCCAAACCACTGTTAAGACACTTGTTGCAAACAACTGCAGAAGTCATTACAGCATAAGTCCATAATTCTTTGGATAGGTCACTTTCTATCAACATACATTGCCATAAGTGTTCTCCAGCTTCGTTGAGCTACTCCATTTTGGTAAGGTGAGTAAGGTGCAGATGTCTCATGTCAAAGAGAATTTTTACACGGTAAAGCCTGAAAATCCTTTAACATGAACTCTGGGCCATTATCTGACCTAATTAACCTTATTTTCCATAGGGGGCAACATCTGCAATAAACCTCTTGTTAGGTTTAACTATGTTACTTTTCACTTTCAGAAAGTAAGACAAATATTGCACGTGAATAGTAAACAATAAATGCTTGTGTATACTTAAACCCATCTTTTGCAGCAGACTCAATAGGACCAGCTAAGTCTGAATACATTAGTTCAGGAGTTTTTTTTGGTTTTGCAACAGCTTGCCTACTTCTCCTGTGAGTAAATTTCCCTTTAATACAGGTTTCACATTTTAAGATAGCTTTATCAACTTTCCCTTTAATTTTTATGTCTTTCACAATGTTTTCTAGTTTGAATACAGTTAAAAATGATATTGACCCAGAATCTTATCCATCTCCTGAATGTCATGACAACCCAGCATTACATCATTCTGTCCATCACCACCATGGACGGGTCCTTCAGGCGCTCTCGCGGCTTCCCCCATCAGAGTTCTGCGGAGTGCAGGTGGAGGTAGGTACGAGACAGGCAGCTCTTCATTACTTTTTTTTAGTTGGGGTCATAATTTTCTAGTTCAATATTTAACAAAATACTATAAAAACATTTAACATCTACAAATATAATTTATAAAGTTTTATTATTTTTGGGCTGGAAAAATATGACCCTATGAGTGGGAGCTGCGCCAGTTGGTGTTCCTGGCTGACCACACAGTCATGACACTAACTGTGTCTTTTGTTTTTCAGCTGAGGGGACACTCGCAGACAGTGACGTTTTGAAGATTTGTCTTTTTTTTAATCATTCTAGGTGGGTTCTAATTATTAAAACACATGTATACATATATATCAGTATATATATAAATGTTTTCTAAATGTTATAACTTAACTGCAATGGCAGTTATCTGTTATTTTGGAATGAGAATGTTTTGTTTTGATTTTGAGAAATTGTTAACTGTTCGATTTAAACCAGTGCTTCTCAAATAGTGGGGCGGGCCCCCTTTGGGGGGCGCGTGTGATCCTGGGGAACAGGCTTTTTTTTTGGCCGAACTAGTATAAAGTGTAATTGCGCACAGTAGGCGGCAGTGGCGCTCTCATTGTTACTTCTGTCACGTTTGCGACAGTGCAACATTTTACGACTTAGAAGACAACAGGTTTGCCTTGGTTAGCAGTGTTAAGTCAACAAAAAGCTCCGACTGCGTTCTGTCTCTGGCCTCCGTTATTCAACAACCCCCAACATGAAAAAATTTTTCACAGGGATGAAAAGAAAAGCGGAGAGAGACAAAGATAATGAGACAACAGAAAGTCAACCGAAAGCTAAGAAGAGGAAATACGACGAAGCGTATTTAGCGCTTGGCTTCACTGTGACTACAGTTGGAGAGGAAAGACCGCTGTGTTTGCTGTGTCCAAAATGCTCGCAGCGGACAGCATGAAGCCAAATAAATTAGCGCGTCACTTAAATACGTTACATCCCAATCACGCCGATAAGCCGCTAGAGTTTTTTTCAGCGAAAAAATGTTAATAAGGAAAAAAATGTTATGCAGAGATGGATAGTCACGGTGGGGAATGGGGGGCGCGAATAGTTTTCTTCTTGCTAGGGGGGGCGTAACGGAAAATAATTGAGAAGCACTGATTTAAACTATACGATCACACACACACAAAAAAATTTAATAAAGAATTCTGCGGAGTGCTGGTGGAGCTGAGGGGCCACTCGCAGGCAGTGACGTTTTGAAGATTTGTCTTCAAAACTTCAAAAGGTTTTTAATCATTCTGGAGAACGTTACACAAGCAACTCACGCAACGGATACTTGAAAACCAATTCTAATATTTTCTGATCAATGCTGGTTACAAAAAGCAGAAACTAGCAGGTTTTTGTTTTTTTAAAAAAGGCATTTGCGTAGCCACCTACAATTTAGAATCTGGCCACCAGTTAATCCATAACACCGGATGTGAACTACCTATAGAGAACATTTAAACAGCGCTTTATATTGAAATAAACACACATTGTTTTCTCTCTAACCACAAGTGAAACAAGTGTGGGAGAGATTCAATCGCGAAGTAGTTCAAGTTACTGCTAGTAAAATGATGCTAAGTTTCTATTGTCCGCATGGAACTCAAGCTCTGATAACTGCTAGATGCTGTTTACACGGAAACAAAATAGAACAGCTGTAAACTCACGTTCCCCATCCATAATGTGCTCATGATGCAATCCGCAGGAATTTCCCTCAGAACAAAGATTCTCAACTGGAATAACTCACGCTGAAAAATAGACGCTGCTAACACACAGCTCCACTCGTGAAAGACTTCCTTCTTCTTGGCCTTTATTGGGACCAAAAAAAACAACGTTTGGTATGCCTTACTGCCACCTACTGGCATGTAATGTCGCTCAAAACGTGCTGGCGCCTCCCCAGCTGCGTTCCGGGCGAGAGGCGGGGTCACCTTGACAGGTCGCCAGTCTGTCGCAGAAACCTAATTATAATTTGAATATATATATATATATGTATATTTGTTTAAATGTAAAAGAAAACACATTAATCATGCTGGTTTAAATGTTGTCTGACATGTTCTGGCATACTTTATTTTTTGTTTCTTGTGGAAGAACAAAAACTTAAACAATATTTAAGACATTCATCTGATGCTGTTGATTCCAAAATAATGCTTAACCAGAAATCTCATGCTAAAGACAAAGCAGCAGACATTTTTGTCTTTTCTTTCCTCTTGTAAAAGTTCTAAATTAATATTTAGTAAGCATATGGAGAAATGTTTAGTAATCTATTGGGCTTTAAATTATATATATATATATATATATATATATATATATATATATATATATATATATATAATATATATATATATATATATATATATATATATATATATATAATTAAGATGGTAGTGAAACCTTTGACAATATCAGATGTTCTCTAAATGAAACATCATGGGAAGACTTTTACTCATTGTAGTAGGACCATATATTCATATTTCACACAACTTTGTAAATTTTGTTACATTCAAAACTGTGTGCACACTTTATATTTTCCTTTGTTCTAAATAAAATACAGCAAATACATTTAAATATCTTCATGTTTGAGTCCCACACCTTGGGGGTGACAATTCAGGGTTGACAACATAATATCCCAGTAAAAGGTTTGTAGCATTTATCCTACCCAAACGGAATGAAACAGTGATGAATTAGAAGAGTTTTTTTTTTATCAAAGTACAAAGCAAAACAAATATAACAAACTAGGGAAACAAGAATATGGAATGATTAATAATGATTAATATAGGTACATAAATGTACAGAATGATTCACGGTTATGAATACATGTTTGAAGAAGGTTGACTGTCATCAAACATTAGAAAAACTAAAGTCTGGAGAACCACACAGACACCAGAGTTAACATCAGATCAGTGAAGATGAAGTAGTGGAGCACATATTTGATTATGTCTCACCCACCTCAAACATACAAATACACTTAGTCCATCTTTTCTTTGTGAACTAACTTCGGGGCGTCTACAAAATCTTGTCCATTAAACAAGATGACAGTGGCTGTGATTGCACTGGCGCTCCCCCAGAACATTACATAAGCAAAAGTCTCTGTCCAGGTGTCACCTACAAGACAAACAGCATTTACATCAGCCATTTTCCAATGAAAACAGAAACATTTAAATAATTATCCAAAGTCTATCAAACCTGATCATTAACTTTATTTATAGAGCACTTTAACACTAGCCATAGCTTGAACAAAGCTGAACATCAGTACTAAATAAAGACAAAAGAAAGCACAAAAACAAAGTGACAAAGCTAAGGACACAATAATAAATTAAAATCGCAATTTAAAACACAATTAAAGGACACAGTTAAAAATACCAATAAAGCTTGCGCAAAATCAAATCTCAGTTGGGTTGAATGGGTAAAAAAATGGGTAAAAATAACTTTTTAAACAGGTTTTAATTAAAGGGTCTGTCCAATGTGCAAAGGTAGAGGGTTTCATTTAGGAACACAAGCAGAGAAGACTGTCCCCTCTAAGCTTCCCTCTCGGTCACTCAGCAGACCTGAGTGACTGAGAGGGAGTGTAGCAGTGGAGAAGGTCTGTTAAATAAGGTAGGAAAAGGCTGTTAAAAACACTGAAAACCAAACAAAAGGATTATAAAATTAACTCAAAAATACACAGGCAGCCAGTAGAGAGAAGCCAGAATAGTTCCTGTTAAAAGATGTGCAGCAGCATTTTGAACCAGTTGGAGATGTGTAAGTGAGGACTGGCTGACTCTGAGATGGAGGGAATTATGGTAATCCAGCCGTGATGATATGAAGGCATGGATTACTATTTCAAACCGTCTCCTTGAAAGAACAGATTTTATCTTTGCTAATTTACATAAATGATAAAAACTAGATTTGACTGTGGCCCATATTTGACCATCAACTTTAAAATTTGTCTTAAAGCCACGGTTTGCAGCTGTGGACTTCAGGTATGTTGCCAGGGGGTCTAACTGTCAGGCTCTGACATGCTCCAGTAGGTCCAAAATCAAGTACCCACGTCTTTGTTTATTAAAATCCTTTAAGTTTAGGGATTTAATATCCTCAAGACACGATAATGCATGCAGATCCACTTTCAGATGATGGCTGATTCAACATTGATATCGTGTCAGTTATGGTTGATTCAACATGCAAGTCACCGACCACTTTCAAAATCATTTCAATGTCAGACTTCAACGTGTATTCAATGTTTCTATATAACTAAATTTCAACATTGATTCACTAATATTTTGCCATCTGGGCTATGTCTCATCAAATCTCTTTGGTAATGCTGAGCTTCACTACTTTCACTTTTACAACTATGTCGGTTTCTTTGGAGGTTCGATCCACCTGAGTGACACTTCCACGTGGGTGGACCTATCTTACCATGGTATGATGTCAATTTTCATCCCCAGTAATACAAGAGTATGAATGCTAAGCAGCAACAACAAAATGATACCATTATTCACTGTGAGTTATTACTTACCAGCCAAAAGAAGAGAAACAATGCACATGGAGAATGCAACCAGCATGACAATGGGAAGCTTCAAAGACAAAATAAAACATTCAATGCGTTAGACCACTCAGATTTATTGTTAATCGGTGAAACACTGATGCACTCACTGTTAGGAACTTCCAGTCCTTCTTCGTACGAAGAGGAGTGGGTCCCTCTGACTCATCAACAGCAAAGTTACCCAGGAAAAGGTCAATAGCGTCCTAATGGGGAATAAAACAACTGCTAGAGATATCCTAGTCTTTCTTTATGTATAAATCAGCACTAAAGTCTTCACTCAAAAACACACAGCATTTGTCTTAGGTAATGAATAAGTTTCAAAATCTTTTTGGAAGAAAAGTGTTACACAAGGCATCTTTACTTTGATCCATGATAAATTGTGTCACAGAGGTACCTGTCTGAATCCATCTGAAAAGTTGTTTTTGTAGTAGCGAATCATGGAGTTCCACCCATCCAGCAAGAGTCCCCACCTGGTCCTCTTCCCTGTCCTGCTCAACAAATAACATTGCAGTCATATTCAATCAGACAGAAGGTGTTTCTGTTGACAGATGTTTGTGTTACCTTGTAAAGTCTGTTTTTAAAGCTCCAGTCCCAGCATACTGCACAGCGCATGCATTGGCATTATCAGCCCAAGCTGTTAGAAAGCAAAATAAAATACATGAAGACACACCAAAACTTACAGGATCTACTAATCCCACAAAGCATGCTCATAGAGCATGTATTGTCCTACCATTTTTGTAGACTTTTTCAAACTCAGCCTGCTCTTCAATGCGCTGACCCACATTTAGAACTCCCACTCTCTGTTAAAGATATAAAAAATATGGACTCAACCATTTACCATCCCTATTGATCTATACAGAATCAGATTTTTAACACATTTCTTTTTTCCCTCTAGAGGGTTTTTGTGGGCTCTGGTGTCCCTTATATGAAAGTAGGCTGACAAGAGGTGGGGGGGAAGACAAGCGGCAAATATCATCAGGTCCAGGAATCAAACCCACGATGGCCGCGTGGAGGACTCAAGGCCTTCAAACATGGGACACGCTATCCCCTACGCCACCACAGCACGTCCAGTTTTTCACACATTTATGGACACTTCTACGGGGCTGCAGCTTAATTAAACTTGGATGCAGACTTGTCACAATAACATTACAGGTGATATATTGCCCCAGAAATTATTGCAATAAACAGTGATATTGTTGTTCTGAGACTATTTTAAAGTAATCTAATAATGGCATAATAAAGCAAGAACACATTCTCAAAAAATTATAAATTCAAAATACTGACAAACATTTAAACACTGGTTGGAACTAGAATAAATTTTCAATACCCCAAATAAATCAACCAAACAGAAACAAAAAAAATGAAATGAATTATTAAGTCTCCATAAAAATTTTTAAAAAATCCTTCACAAAGTGGCCCAGTTGAGAGTACTGGACCAGACTTTTGTCATCCAATTTTTGGTAGACAAGGAGAGAAAAAAAACAATAAATTGTGCAAATGACTATTATTGACTTTGTTTTAATTTATTAAAACAAAGTTTTTTAATAAATCACATAATAAATTGATTAGCTGAAAACAAGGGCAAGGTTTTTTTTTCTCTTTAAAAAAAAAGTTAACATACCTGAAGCTGTGACTGAAGTGAGCATCTGGCCAGCAGGCTCTGAATGACATTGGTCCTGTCTAGGCAGTCCATGCAATTACTCCTGAAAACTCCTTTCTGCTGGGTCAATATCTTTCCATCTGAGTTCACCATAAAGTAGCTAGACACACAAAAAATGCTCAGTACCCCTTCCAGTAGCCACCTTGAAGTATGATACCAACAGGTGCTAGTTCAGCTACCTGTATTCATCTTGTGTCTCTGCTACAGCATCCACTAGGATCTGAAGACGGTCCCATCTCATGTGACTGCACTCTTTGTGAAAATCAAAGGCCAAGTAGCTAAGGATGTAATGTTAAAAGTTGAATGTTCATTTACAAAATGCAGGTAATCTGATATTAACTTTAACTGCTTCAATCATTCTGTTGACACTGTCTGACTCTATAAAACCTACATACAAACAGTTGCTGTTTTCAACATGTAATGTTTAATGTGCTGTCCTTGATGAAATACATTTGAATAGAAAGTGAATGTAAAAACTGATAAGTAATGGTCGACACTTACTTGATCATACCGTTGTTAAGACCAGACGACATCTTGGCAAACTCCTCTTCCAGTGGCTTCTCTGACCCTTTTTGATTCACCTGGACAAGGAGAGTCCAAATTGCCTTTAAATGTGTACAGTTGGATCATTCTTAGCTCAGTGTTTAATAAAAGGTCCTCACCAGGTTCAGAACAGTTTGTTTTCCATAGATGAGTAGTTGTGAGTCAAAGTGCCTCTGGAAACCATCCATCTGTAAATGGTTGACATCAGATCCTCACTTCTATTCTAGTTAAAGCCTAAGAAATTAGATATATGAGAGAATGGCAGCGCTTACATGATTCATGGTTTTGCTGATTACAGGTTTAGGCTTGTACTTCAGATTGGGCCTCTGGCTCCAGTAAAACGGCATAGAGCCTCGTGTCTGTAAATGAAAGTACCTTGTGGTAACACCTATCACGAGACAATACAACAGTCAGAGAACAACCCTACCTGCACAAAGGAAGCCTTTGCTCCCTCATACAGAACTATCTGCTCAGTCTCCACAAAGTTAGCAGCATGGCCTTCAGAATCAATACCTGTTGAGACAGAAACATTTGTCAAAGGATAGAGGAGAGGATAGAAAATGAAGTGCCTCCTTCACCACAGCTAGATTCAGTACTAGCTAATTTCTGCATTGAACTATCTCCAGATTTGTTTCTTTGTTATTGTCTCTGCTTCTTTCTTTAAAATGTTATTGTCATCCAGATTAAACACATCAAGCAAGGAACACATGTTGTTGTCGTTGTGGAGCACAATGTCTGGCGATTTTGCAGCGAATAATAATTACAGTAATAACAATATTCTAAAAATGGGAAGCTTTGAACTTCAGTCATAGATATGTAGGCATAACTACAGATATAGAGCCAGTAAGGACCATCTAATTTATATCCACAGGTAAACTAAGGCACAACTAATGCTATTTTTATTATTATTGATCAGTTGCTGACAAACCCACTTGATTGACAAATGTTATGTCAAGATAGCACCTACATTTAAACTCAGGCATTTCTGACAGGAACATATTGCCTTCCCTTTATTAGTCCAAATATTTCACTTTAATCCAGCCAAGCGATCCTTTTTCATGTTCACCTCTAACATAGTATCTCACACCAGCCCGGAAACAGCTTCTCCTGGAGATGAGGATCCACTCAAAGATCTTCCCATTTATACGGCATGGCTTCATAACAATGACTGGAAGAAGAGGGTTAAAGAAAAGCTTAATCTTGGAGCTTCTGTTGGTCAGATCATTTTTCAACAAAAACATTCTGGATTTTTGGGGCAAAGGATACATCCATGAATAACAGGTAGTGCAAATCTGTGAAGCTACAAAGAAGCAGTGGTAGTTAGAAAATACGAGTATAAAAGTAGTCAAGATGAGTGAAACCATGTGACAGCAGTTACCTCAGGCTGTCCAGCAAGTTCCCTTAAAAGGTTACCATTCCAGACAAATCTCTGATCTGCCTGTAAACCACAAGAAACTAATTGTTAAACCATTCACCATTTGACACTTCTTTTAAATGGTAAATGCAAATATGCAAAAAATATATTTTAATATCAACCACCATTCCAAACCTTTGCCCACATCCACATTTAAAGAAATAGGACAACAAATTTGAACTTTAAACAACCGCAAAGGATATATTTGTCAGTTTGGCCTGGACACTGGATGCAGCAGCATCATTTAATTTTATTATATTTGCCAGCTTCCACAATAATCAACTCTACCCCACCTCTCGCCCATTGACAGCTGGAGATAGGCACCAGCAACCCTCACGACCCCAATGGGATAAAGGTGCAAGAAAATGGATGGATGGACAAAATGTTGGGGTGAAATAGCATTTTTTGTAGTTGTACCACCAGACAGGGAAAGTGTTCTATAAAACATAGGTTATCTCCCAGGGCCACCAGTGCCACTTGCTTTCCCACTAGGCTAAGAGTTGTATATTTATTTTAAAGTGTTTTTTTTTTTTAATATACCTACAAAAGTAATAGCAAAGATGGATTAAGTTAGGTTTATAGGTCACACACTGATCTTGGCACACATTCCACAATTCACTCAAAAGTACCCGTTTGGAGGAAAGCTTTGCCTGTACTGGCATTTATATGATTATATGAAGGCTTATTATGGAGACCAACTTATGCATCAAATATCAAAGCCAGACAAGCTGACAGTATCAATAATGAAACATATATTAATGCCCTATTCTAAACTGTAAATGCTAAAATTTGTTGGTGCAAATGAATCTGAAAACACCTTGGAGCATATAACTTGCAGTAAAAAAAATTGCTGGTGTAACTAACATGCAATGGGGTTTTATGCATATTTAATCATCGTCTTGAACAGCAGACAAAACTAAAAGATCATTGATCTTTTGAAAATCAGCAAAAACACAAAAAGCTCCTATTCTGTTCCTGTCCCAGTTTAAGAAAATTTGATTTAACATTCAACTCACTCTACCTAATATTTTTGGGTAATAAAACATCAATAATCTTTACAGAATAATTACCTATTTAAAAAGATAATGGCATTAGTTTATACATATACAGCCTTCAGAAAGTCTAGTTTTATTCAGTCCAGTATTCAGTATTTTCTTTGTTGTTGATGTTTTTTTTATTCTCCTGTCAACCCTTAATTTTTCACAAAAAAAGGAAAAAAAACAAACTGTGGGAAATCCTGCATGACAAATCATTCTTACTTAATTTCACAATAAAATGTTTTATTCAACAACATGCAGATTATTGAACTAACTTTTATTAGCTTGCTCAGCAGATGAGTTCATCTGAAAGCTTTTGAGCATAAAATATGCAGAAATATTTTATGTTTATTACCATTAAAGTTAAATTTTTAATAGTCATCATAGTGTGTTAATTTTCTCAGATGTTCTTGGAGCTGCCAATACACCAAATACGTCAGTATTCATACTTGGTGGACTTGATATTATAGTCACATACGTTATAAATGGATTAAATTATTAAAAGGTAGGGCTGTAATGATTCCTTGAGTGATCCGAGTGTGTCAATTATTAAAATTCCTCAGGGCAAATTATCTGCCTCGAACCTTCGTTAAATTATGTCTCATTATTTAGCGCACCATGTTACAGCCGGATTGCTTATGTTGCGCAACATTCTCACTTCCGCCTCTGAGCTGCTGTTTTGCTGCAGCACTAAGAGCTGAGTGCTAGCAGCATAATATCCAAATTTTAAGTTGGTGAATGAAATTAATGTCTGGATTTGTCGTTTTTCGGGAGAACAATAAGCATCCTTAAAGTGACCTTTCTCTTCCCGGAGAATATAGTACAACAGTCTGTCCTGTTTATATACAACACACAAAGACAAAAAAGTCAAGAATTTCAATTCAACCTATAGAAGCATTTTTTTAAAATTAATTCAAATGTTTGACTTACTTTAAACAAACTGTACAAACATTTAGTGCAAAGATTTGTAATGACCATTTACCCTCTCCAGCAGACTCATCTCCTGGAAGTCAGGACTGGTGTTGGCCAGTCGCTGCAGCGTGTGTGTTAGGTCAAAGTCAGTGCAGAAGTAGAAGCCATCTGTATTCAGCACATTGTTAATCATAGCCAGGAAGGTCTTATTCTCCTGAGACTAAAGCGAAAAACAAACATGTTTTCAGGATACACTTCTGAACTCTGAGACAAGTAATAAAAGACAAATAAGAAAAAAAACTGTAAATTTTCATCCCTGTCCATTTTCTTCGGGTCATGGGAGTAGCAGCAGTACACACGTACAAACATATGTGCAAGCACACATACATACACATTCACATATACAAGTACACACACACACATATTTGTTTGTGTATATATGCTAACATATTTACATGCATATTTATAACACAGGAACAATTTTCTACACTTACAGTTTTTCCAACTGTGTAAATTTATATTGTTAAAGACTACAAAAGGAACAATCTTGTTAACCTGGATTTCTGAGAGATGTAGCACTGTCTTCTTATAGGATATCACATCAAAGTCCACAGCCTTCCACACAGCATGGCCAAGAAGGTTGCCTACATTCCTCTTCCTGGTGATGACAATCAGGTACATCCCTGTGCAGTGAACATTGTAAGTCAAATCGCAATAAAGACATGCTAAACAGGACATTTTACAACATGCATGCTGTAGTTATCATTAGTCACATACCTGCAACCAGACGAATAGTTCCCATGATCCCACAGATAGGTCTGGTGACAGCAGAGGGAGGAATATCATTTCTACCTATGAAATCGTGAACACAACAGGGAAGAAGTTGAAGAGAAATACATCTTGCATGTTATGTCCTTCTATTCCTTGCTGTTAAAAAATTGTTAACTGTTCACAGAATCACAGAGGTCTAGCAAAGAAGAGATTGCCAACAGCAGCTAATCATTAACTACATTTCCTCCATAAAACATCCTGAAGAAATACTATGAAATCAGTGCAAGTACAGTGCTTGCTATTCAGATGTTCTACCTGTGAGGGTCATTTCATTTGAAACCCGGTCAATGACCAGGACGGCATCAGCTCCTTCATCACAGGCCTCAATGAAGAACTTTTCAGGGGTTGTGTGCCTATGAAAACAAGTTGACAATATATGAAGCCTTCAAATTCATCAAATGAAGTTTATAAGATTCTCCAATAACCAACTATACAGTTTGGACAGGTTGGTAGATATTCACCTGCCCATGATTTACATTACATAAACCTATATGAATGTAATCTGATCAAGAAAACACAATAATTAGATGGTTAGAAGCAAAAACAATAAACTAAACAATAAACGGACATTTAACAGGAAGAAATATAGTCAGAAAGAGAACCTACATATTCCTTTCTCTAAGCTCGTCTTCAATTTTATGTGAAGAACTAGAAAATTCCTGAAGAAATTTCACTGGAGCCTGCCAAAGTGTGCCCGTTGGTTTGAACCCAGCATTCTAATGCTGAAAATTAGCAACAATGCAAAGTTTAGCTAAAAAAAATTACAAAATCAATCAATGGGGGGAGTCCTAAAATGGAGACAAAAGGTAATGCAATCGATTGGTTCAGCTGTTCTGAAATAGAGACATGTCTAAAACATGCAGAGCAGGGGGCCTGAGGACTGGAATTGAGAAGCACTGACCTAATGTGACACTGGACATACAATGGTGTGTTAACACTAAATGCGTTTTGAGTGTCAGGCGCTGCTGGTTTGGATTCAGTCTATGTGGAGGCGCGTCGAGGGTTATTGCGGTGCGCTTCGAGCGTCTTAGCGCGGTGCGATTTGAACCATTTGACACATTTAGCACATCCAACACTCCACAGAGACTGAATATAAACCAGACTCGCCTGATGCTCAAAACATGTTTGATGTGAATGCACCATTAGAATGTCCAGCTTCAATGGTAACAATGACATCAGCGGTGATGACATCACTCTTTGATACATCAAATGAATCTCTCTTTTGATTGGAGCACACAAACTGTTTTTTCAAACCTCTTCGTTTTTCAGACTTATAAGTTATAAGTTATGAATCTTCTGCAGGAGCATTATTAAAACATAATCAGCCCAGTACAGGTTCACATTCTCCGGTTAGAGAGACTTGCCTCAGTATCAATTACATTTTTCGGTACTGGAATCACATTTATTAATTTAATCAAAGTATGTAATGAATATGTGTGCATGTACTCCATCTTAAGTCCAGAGCATACAAAATTTTTTGTTGCTTTTGCCACCACTAGATGATATGCATATAAGATATAACAAACAGCGCTATTCAGAGATGCAATGAGTTTATAGCAGTTGTTCCACCATGATTGTAATTCTGACATTCTGCCATCACTGCAGTTCTAAAGAGCAGCTCAGAGGGAGACACAATTCTGTCTATTTTGAGTGTAACTGACACTGTTTTGTGTCAGTTAGTCTTTTGTTTTGACTTGAATTTGGCTCGTTTTTTGCTAATTATGCCGCCATGGTTACTCGAAATGCCAACAAAAGTAATAGCTCCTCACGGGATGGAGCCACACGTCTTGATATATATATTGTGAGGGGGCATGCAGCGGTACGGGCCGCATTAAAGGCTATCTGTTATCCTAGTAACAGAGCAGACCTGTTTTATCTAGATGTTTTCTCACTACATCACAAAACCTTAAAACAGGTACAACATAGATTTACATTTGTAAATCTATGTTGTACCTGTTTTAAGGAAATCTACAAGACTCCATCTTGTTGATACAGTCGCATTTCCTCATAAGTCATGTGATGCAGTTGACTTATGAGTCTGGTAGAGGCTGAACTTATTTTTAAATCACTGGCTCTGCTGCTGCCCCAAGAGATGACTGCAAAAGAGATTATACTCAACAACAGACTTCTGAAAGACATGCAGAAAACCTTGATGGACCTTAGCTTCCTCAAGAAGAACTGTCTGCTCTGTTCTTTCTTAAGGATGTGTTCTCTGTTGTGTCTCCAGTTCAGATTGTTGTTGCGATGAACACAGGTATTTATATTCCTCAACCACCTCCACTTCCATGAAGGAAAAGGGCTTAAAACAATAATCTCCTTTGTTTTGTTTACTTTCAAGATAATAGTTTCCAACATACACGTATATAAAGAATAGATGCCTCATGGATCTATTCCATGAAGCATCATGGAATAGATCCTACGTAGGCGACCCTACGTTGCTGACGTCACGTAGGGTCGCCATCTTGGAGCTCTACTCAGCATTATGTTTGGCAGACACAATCATCTCACAAAATACTAAATAGATTTTCACGCTTTTTAGCTGGAAACCTTATTCAAACAGCTATCACAACCACATGTACAAGGACATAATTTAAGTATTTTTCAATTGGATTGACACATGGCTGAGCATATTTAAATATTCTTAGTGGGGAAAACAGAATAGAATAGGAACAGAATATTCTGATTTTAATGTATGATGAGCATTTCACACTCAATGTTTTTATACAGCACAAAATAATGCATATATCAATGTATATCAAAACAAAAATGGGAGATCTGGGAAGTATCTTACTTTTGATAGTATGAAAGAATTAAATATAAAGAATAGTCTTTTCCACCTGTGTAAACTGGTGAATGTTATATATTTATAATAATATTGTTTTATTTCAAAGGTAGTCTCTTTTGTCAGATAAACTAAATCACTGTTGGGGAATAACTCAAAATTTTTAAGATTTATGAAATCTATTAGGCTTCATTCCTGGAGCTGAACCCTGGGATACACCAAGCACTATGCTAATATTAGCTGCCATTTTACCAGTTGTGCTCCATGACCTTTCATGACAAGACATGACCTTAGAGTCTCACAAACTGTGGTTCGTTTGCCAGATAGTCACTGACTCCTGTGTCTTCTGGAGTTTCTGATAGAGCAGATCAGGCTGCATTGTGTTAAATGCACTGGAGAAATCAAAGAACATGACCCTCATAGCTCTGCCTGCTTTGTCCAGATAACAGTGGGTTTGTTGAAGAAGGTATATGATGGCAACTTCAACTCCATAGCAATAATCAAACTGCAGGGGGTCTTGATATGTGTTTTTTTGCATACTCCGGTGGGCCAACAGGAGTCCCTCCAGGACCTTCATGATGTGGGATGTCAGGGCAACTGGTCTATGGTCAATAACTCAAAAATGAGTTTTCTTCTATACTGCTCATTCATATCATTGATGATCCTAGGTTCATAATTAGGGAAGCATCTCACTGTTCTGGTTTGGATAGTGTTGTCCACACAGATATTTATGCAGAAGGTCACACGCTCAGTCACTGATGTCCCCTCAATGTGGCTGGCAAAGAGCATCCCAGTTTGTAGCCTCAAAATAACTCTGCAGGACATCTTCAACTTTCTGTGACCACTTTCTCACAGAGCTTTTTATAACAGGTTGTCTGTGAATAAGAGGTTTACATTCTGAGTAGAGTACAATAAGGTTGTGATTTGATTTTCCCAAAGGAGGTCTTCTTTACACATATGAGGACAAAAACTTACTGTTTTTTGCAGTAAGCTTGTGATCTCAAACGTTTTATTGGGATGTACCACCAAGTGAAATTGGAGGCAAATTTTGCATCAAAAGAACATGGACCTCTCTGAGTCCAGTGAGCCGTTTCCCCCAGCTCACTCTGGAAACAGGCTGAACTTGTATGCTATACCAAAGCAGTTTATGAGTATTAGAAGTATTATTTCTAACTGACTTGAAATAAACTTCTATTTTTAGTCATGCTAAAACAAGCTGCATGTGTGGCAAAACATATGTAATTAAAGTTTTTAAGTCATGTTAACTAATTTAAAGGCTGTGATTCACAGATTTTATCGTCCCAAATGGGAAATTCTTTTCCACAAACCAGCTCAATTCATTCTAAATAAACATGAACTCTCTTGATGTATAGATTTTTATCTAAATGGGATTTTATTGTATCAATATAAAAGCCAATTGGATAACATGACTAATTTGTACTTTTATTCTGTGAACTTTAACTGATGTTATGAGCAGCACAAAATTATAATCTTAGTCATTTATGACAGATGCCAAACTTCCTGTGCAGTACAATCAAAAGGCCCCAGTTAGATTAAATAGAAAATTTAAACAGAAAGTAGCTTATAACATATGTTATTAACTAGAATATATCTGTCTTTCATTTCATGTTCAAGTTTGGTGAACGATGATTTAAGATTTAACAAGACTGACAAAAATGCCAGAAAAAATCTAACAAGTTCTGTTTTAATTTCCTGATCAAATAAAAAAAACAGTTTTTCAGTTGTTGAAGTAAATATGTCACTAAAGCTGAAATACCAAAGCAGATTATGAGCTCATGTAATAATCTGTAGTAACAGCCTGTCCGTTCTGCTCATGAGCTAGAACACATGTGTCAAACTCAAGGCCCGGGGGCCAAATCCGGCCCGCCATAGCTTTTTATGTGGCCCTCCACAGACTAGACTAAACACTAAGTGTGATAAAATATTATATTAAAAAAAATATTATATTATCAATTATATCAATGCAGTTCTTATCTGTTTACTGCCAATTTGTGTCAATCAATCCCTCCAGTTTCTTGAGAATTTAGTTGATGTATGATTATAATCCATGATTTATACAGTGGGTAAATAGTCGCATTTATTCCTGAAGGGACTGAAAAGCTCTTCAATAATATTATGTAATTTAAGAATTCATTGACATATTAACAGTTTGTGAACAGGTTTTATCAACACATTCTGGCACAACCGGCCCTTTAAGAGCCTTCATGGTCTTGATTTGGCCCAAAACGAAAATGAGTTTGACACACCTGAGCTAGACAATCTCTCATGAATCTTTATTATGAGTATAGGTCAAAGAACCAAACAATTGACTGCTCAATCTATAGCAACTTTAAAAAACTTCTTCACACAAAACAACAGTGTGATCCCTTTCACAGAGACCTCAATTTTTATAATTTTGGCAAAAACATGAGCTAGCCATGCCTGAACTGAGTTCAGGCCTTCAGGGAGTGGTGGCAGCCAAAGGCTGAACAGCAAGTACTACTGAAGTTGAACAAAGAAAAAGTAGAGAATTATTGTGAAAGTCATTCGTTTGTCATAAAGAGACAAGACTTTGTCTCTATTTTGAATTGTTTAGCATTCACTGAATATAGCAGTGATATACTGACTCTTAAGATGTGAATGAAAAAAACGTCTGCCACATTAGCAATGTTAGGAGGAAAAGTGGGTCTAAATGCATTTTTATAGTTATGAGAGAGACCGTTGTTAATGTGCAACTAAACACTCCATAGTTTACCACTATCTGGTAAACTACGGGGTGCACCCATCTTTTCTTTTGACTGTGTAGTAGACAATCACAGAAATCTGTTTCTCATCACTGTACAAATCAGGAGAACCAGAAAACATGGCTGAAAAGGTTAACTTCTTGCTTACGTTTCTAACAATATAAATCTTAATTTTTTTTAGACTTAAAAAATTTATATTTCGTTTTTAATTAAAAGCAAATAAAGAATATTTGCTTTTTTAATTAGAAAAGGCTAATTGAAATAAAAAAACAAGATTTTGAGTGAATGGTAAAGAAAACAAGCAAGGCAACCAACAGTGGAAAGCAATAATTTGTAGACAGTTCGCTGTTGTAGTGCCACAACTACTCTTTGTTGGTCTTGCATAATCAAGACCAGTCTCCACAAGCACGCACTAAAATCACCACAACACTCTCCTAAATCGAATATTTCCCCAGAACCGTTTATTTCCAACCAACTAATAATCGATTATTTATTTGAGAGGAGGTCACATTTAGCTTTAAACTAGTGGCTTCATCCCGTCTGTGACAAGAGACCCGGACTTTCTTTAGGTTGCCTAACCTACTGCTGAGGGCAGAAAAGGAGGGGTAACAGGTAGGACTGGATGACTCACACTGTTAATGAAGGTGTATACTAAAGGTATGTCTTGAGAATAACACCGTCGTTTGGTTAAAACAAAAAAAACAAGGCTAACTGCCAACGGACAGTCGCTCATAAAGCCTTTTGTTTTATGAGCGACAAATTGGGATAGGAAAGTCAGCTTAACACAAACATTAAGCAAGAAGACACTAATTTCTTTTCGGTCTGATGAAAATCATGGACATGATTGACAGCGACCATGTTCACTGCACACACCAAATGCCTTCATTTGGTGTGTGCCACATTAGCAATGTTAGGACCTCACCTTGTGAGTACTTTTCATTATAAATGAGTGAAATGCGAAGCTCGAATGACTCCTGCTCTGAATTTCGATCCTGATAGCAAACTTCAGACTGCTCTGCTGAACTTCTGCTTCAGTATTAGCTTCGTTGGAAGCTTCGTTTTTTATTAAAGTCGGATTAGAAGAATAATTGCTACCAGGATAGTTACCAAAGTTAAACGAAAATTACTTACAAATTGTATCTCTCATAGGCAGTCGCCATTTTCCTTCAGAATGGTTGACCTCAGTGACGACAGCATATATAGTTGCTTTCCTTTGTGTTGCCAGTTAAGTGTCTGAAGCAGCTTTCCCGTCCAGCCCAGTACAACCTGGCATCCACACAAGGTGGGAGGATTTTTGGTATTTGTAGTTCAATGCGGTTAGAGCCCTGCAACTCGTCATGGATCCCAGTGAGTGGCAGGATTTGCATGTTTAACACAGAGTGACACAAGATTTACATGTATATGAGATTGCTATCTTTGGCTTTGCTGCTTTTGACCAAAAAGAACTGAGACTCCTTCATTATCATCAACCTCATTGTACTTCTTGTTAAATAATATATACAAAAATGCAAGTTCAATGATATAGATCTGCGTTATCTTCATGAAAGACTTGAATTGGTACTACATTCTCATTGTTTTATTCAATAATTCAAAAACTAGAGAAACTATAAATTTAGTAAAAAATTGATTATGTCGTATCCTCCTGTCAAGTTTGCTTCTTTTTGTTTGTTTCAATGTTTTTTGTTTGTTTATTTGTTTTTTTTTTTATGATATGGTGGTACTCCCAGTGTCACGGCTACCCATGCATGGGGGTAGGAGGAGGCTTGAGCCCCTACCCCTTTTATTCTTGATCAACGACCAACTGCCCTTTCATATTTTTTTTCCCTATTTATTTATTTATTTATTTATTTATTTATTTATTTATTTTTTATTTTTATTTTTGTGCCTCTCAACAATAGTATTTAGCTAAAAATACAAATTTTGCAAAATAAATTAATTTGGCTGCCCTCGGCCTAATAACGATTCTGAACGGATAATGAGTCCCTCTGCCTCTATGTCGTAAGAATGAGGGGTATTAAACTGTCCCAAATTATGGGCAAACTTTTTTTTCCCAACTGGTTTGTGAATAAAAATGTAGGTCTGATGTTGAAGTTAGAAAAACCGTTTCTATGTATTTTCGGAATTGTCCTCACATTTGCAGGAAAAAACCCCAAAGACAGAAATGGTTCAGCTGCAGACAAAACTTCGGACTATAAAATGAATTTTATCAGGCTGCTGCAGTGCTGGACTAAATGCTCGGTTCGCTATAAGCAGCCTGAATTGGTCCCATTGCTGTGGGTCAGAATCAGATAGGCCTACCTCCTGATGTCAAGTAACAGTACCGCGACCAGTTACAACGACACACAAGAACTTGACTCTTTCATTCGTTTTATCACAATACATATATATTGTACATTGCAGTGGTACATTATTTGAGGGAGGTCCTGCTGGTATCTAAAAATAAATTTCACTTCTGTTCAACTCTGTGAAAATGATTGAGGCAAAGAACGCTGCTCTGCTCAGTATGTCCGGTTTGGTTTTTGACATTTATCCATTTAACGATTAAGACCCCGTACAATAATTCCAGCTGTTCAGTTTATTATGTTTTATTGTTTTCTGATGATAATCACCTGTTGTGCCAGGCTTTCATGTCATTCTGTAACCCCTCTGTTTCTTTTACTCTGTTTCTTGACTGCTAATCTTTTTTTTAAACTTTATTTAAACAAAGTAATCACAAACAAGTAAGGCAATTACAGTAGTGCAATTCTGTATAAGGCATAGAAGAGGCATATTTTAAATGGATATACAAAGTAATATTGATAATTTAAAAAAAGAAAAAAAACTCAAATAGTAATAATGAAACAATAACTAAAAATGGCAACAAGGGGATTTATATATTAGGATTAATATACATCAGTGGGCAATTCCATTAATATTTCAGTCAGGGATTCATACGAATCAATACATTTCAAGGATTTCACATATAACTGGAATGCAGAAAAGAAATGTTAAAGACTGGGGATGATCTCAGCACTCTGTTTATGAATAAAGAATTTTGCCAAACAAAATATTAAGTTACAACAGAGTTCTATTGTTTTGTTTATTAATAACACTCCAAAAGTTACCATAGCTCTAGAAATATCGTTGACTGCTAATCACTCAAGATACTGTACAAGAAGTTTGTGTGCCTGTAAGATTTGACTGTTTTTATAGTAAAGTTTTTTTTTTTTTAAGGTCCTGCTGGTGGAGTCGGACGACCCCGTATTCACAAGGTTACGTGTTTTAATTTTGCAAGCCGACTTTTCAGAAAAAGTAAGAAAGTAAATAAGAAACTAGATTAGGTTATGGCTTTTATGTGACGTTTTATAGTTACTCAAAAGAAAAAAAGAGCCTTGTAAAAAAAATTAAAGAAAAGACCCTGGCATTTCTTAGGACACCTATGACTTTTGCTCTGAGAGGACCCTCGTATATAAACTGCTGACAGCCATATTTTAGTCTCTGTCCTTTGGTGCTCGTTAGGGGAATATATATAGAGAGGTTGTTCAAGATTAAAACTGAAACAGAGTTTCAATCCTGTGTGATGCCTTGCTTGTGTGAAACACAACAAGAACACACGTTCGGGTTTCTATTTATTTTCAGAGTGAACTGAAAGAAAATTGCACCATGTGCACCGGCTTCGCCAACCGACCACGTGGGGTGGCAAGGACACAAGAAAAGGAGACTGACCAAATGGGGGATAGTTGCTGATCGGTTCATACAACCTTGCTGATTCTGAAGAACAAAGCAACAATCACGAGGTACTGCTAATAGAAGAAAACTATATCCTTTAGAAAACGTATTTTTCTACGTGTCTGTACGGAAAGCCTTGCCTCGTTCACAAAGCCTTCGTACTTAGATAAAACCTACTTCACTAAACGGCAACATGGATTTTATCAGCCTCCCCTTTGTGCAATTGGATCATCCAATTGTTAAAAATGGCTTAGCTTTAGATTGTAAAGTTACATTTTCCCTATTTTGTTTTAGGAAAGTGTTCTTTGTTTCATGTTTTCAGTTATAAATCTGACTTTGTAAATAAAATGTGGGGTTTGAGAATTTTTTAGCTGCTAACTAAAATATCTAATCTGTCCCATATTTCTTTTACAGCCTCAAGATGGATGCCAAGTGGCTGCTGGTTAAGTCAGCAGTGATGGTGAGATACAATGAAATTCAACATCAGTAGGGCTGGGCAATAGTCATGCTGATCATACTTATACCCTACATTACATAGATGGACTACCTTTTTTTGGAGGGGTGGGGGGGATTATTGCAGGCAAACTACAGGCAAGGTTGGTTTTTATCCGTCCTATTACGTTTTTGTGTCTGGGAAAAATCCATGTACACTCAAATTCTTGGTTTGTTTTTCTAGTGAAAAATATGGCTTTTACATGTTTGTTACAACTGTCACTTTGTCATGATATTATGGTATAAAAGAGATAATTTGTTTTATAAATTAAATCAAATGTATACTATTTTTTAGTGCTTGCCCTAGTATTGTCAAAATTGAGGTGTATTGTCATAATGCTACTCTGAACTTTTATATCTTGAACCTTGGATCCTAAAACCCTAGTCTTTACTGATGCCTTGTCATGCAAATTGCTCCTGTATGTTAGCCCACAGTTTCCAACTCTGCTGCCATGGTTACTGGAGAAAGGTCCTGTACAACTGTAACTGTACATTTGGATTTGAATATATTGCCCAGCCCTGCCACTGAATTATGTACTGTATTAAAATGCTGTAGTGATGATTCATTAGACTAGAGTCTCTGATAATATGGTGATGCTATTTGAGATTGCACTGAACATGCATCCTACAAACTTGCAATCCAAACTGATTTTGTAAAAATTTGTACTAATTTATTATTTTTTTTCAGGCACCTGTTTGGTGATGTAGCTATAGATGGAATGTCTTGCTTTAGGTAAGCCCGGAATCTGCGAGCCTTTATTCTATTGGAGTAAGTGGAATGATGATTTTTAGACTAGAGTCTCTGAAAAATAACATGAAGTTGTTTTCACAGTACACTGACCACATAACCACAGCTAATGCATGCTTTATCCATTAACTGCTAGTGCAGAGCACTGCTGGAATCTTTCAGCATGTGTTTACAAAAAGCTTGCAGTAAATGGACTAAAATACCCATTAAAACACTATACTCTTTTTTAATTAGAATACATTTACCTATTTTAGTTTCTTCTTGTAGATCATCTGTTCTTGTCCATGAGGATGTTTAGGTAAGTATGTTAACATTAAAATTTGTTTTAATAATAGAATAAAATTACAACTTGTGAATGGGAAAATCCCAGACACTGGGGAACTTGTGTTCTTCTGTGCAGTCATTGCCACTTTTAGCTTTAAATTCTGATTAACTTTTAAATCAGAATTTAATGCATTGCTATATTTACGAGAATCACCATTTAATCAGTATTGACTGATGCCAATAGACTTGGCACCAAGGCCAGATTGCTCCCCCATATGGAAGTAGAGCAAACCTCTGACAAACATGGTTATATGGTGAAGGTGGTGAAGTTCACCAGTTTTGAAAAATATTGTGATCAACAAATTGTATGCACTCGATGGCATACAGAGGAGGTCATGCAGACCTTTGAATCAGGTGTTCTGGAACAGGGACGTGGCTAAAATATACAGGGCAGTGGCCTTTGATGGCACTGCATCAATTCTGAGTAATAAATTGAATTAAATATTTAAAAATTTGAGTTTTTGTTTTACACTACAAAATTATACAGTGCCTTAAAAAAAGGGTTGAAGTAAATCATGTTTGTGTTGGATGCTTTAGATAGGATGCAAAGCGTCTATGAAACAGCGACTGCTCTACAGGTCTGATTGGTCAATGATGATGCAGTTATTTGGTTCTACTGATGTTAACTGAAGTCTACTCGCAGCGCACTGAGACAATCAAGACCGCTGGAGCTTAGAGACACTGTGCTAGTTAAACGTGTCTGTAGTCTCCTGACCAGCTGCAGAATGGGAATAGACATCACCACACTTTGATCAGTTTCAGTTCTTGTTGTACAGAGGAATGTACTCAACCAATCAAGATTTCTTATTTTAAGGTGGGGTTATAAGAATATTGTTTTGCAAAGTTGTAACTTCACTTTCCAAACATCTCCAGCTAATACATTAACTTTGATGTTTCTTCTCTTCTCACAGGAAGTGAACTCTGAATGAAAACTAAAGCTTCACTGACCGTCATTCTAGTTATCTACAAACTAGAGGGCTGTTTCACAAAACCAGGATAGCAGAATAAGCTGGGATTTTCTAGATATCCTGTTTTAAACCTCAATTCAGTGTTACAAAAGAAATATCACACAAGTTACCATTGTGATTTATGCTCCAGACCAGGCGAGCAGCCATGCTTAGTTAAGCCAGGAACATTATCTGTTCAGTCAGCAGTCATAGTAGTCAGAAACCAAGGAGTTTTTTTTATGATTATCTGCATGAATTGTTTTTTTTTTTTTAACGACCCTGCATTAAGACACCTGTAATTCATTTTGGTATTCAGTCAGGTACTATTATTTTTAAAGTGTACCATTAGAAAACACAATTAGCAATTTTAAAATGACCCATACAGACTCCTGTACGGGAGCGTGCCATTGACATGTTGGATGTAGGACGTGCACCAGAGCAGAAGCTGCACGGCTCATAACAGTCATGAAAGAATTCACTGTCAGCTGAACATGTTATAATATTGACTTCCACTGTTCATTGATTAGGTTATAGTTTTCTTCATTTCTGAAAATCTCAAATATGGGTTAGTTATGTTTAGTTAAGAATAGTTTGGAAATATATATTTTAGGCTAATTATGTATTCAAGTGATCTGCTGTTGTTTACTCTTGTAGTGGCAATGTTTTTTTGTATGATGTACTTCAATTCCTCATAAACTTCAATAAAAAAATGTTTGGTGTGAGGGATGGCTTACGCAGTTTATTGAGCATATCATTAGTGAATCTGTGATTGATTTCATTAGTGTCTTGAAGAAATCTGTTGATGCATTCACCTGAATTATTTAAGCCCAGCTTAGCAGCTGCACTTCCTGAGCCTGGTTTGGTCTTTGAAACGGATAGAGCCAGAATGAACTGATGGTTCTATGTCAGGCCTAGTTTTCTTCTGGATTTATGAATCCTACTTCAGGCAGCAAGCAACAAAAATGAAAAGAAAATTTTTAAAATCAGGTAGACTTCAATATATCAGAGTTAACGGTTCGTTATCCCTGAAGCAACAGGGACACAATTGTTTGATTGTAGGTGAAACACAATTTAAATGCCCACATCACACAGTGCATACTTCGCACAAGGCAAAGTGTGCACTGGCTTGTCTGAAATAAAGCCTGACATAATTTAAAGTCGGTATTTTTCGTTTTAGTGTGTGATTTGGAATGATGGATTTGCCTAAATGTTCACAAACTTATCAAGTTGAACTAAGGCAATATAGTAAACTACAAATTCAGTTATTTGAACTATTCATAATTTTAGAAACAAAACGTTTTAGTTCCTGCAGGTTTAACCAAGATATTTTAGTTAAGGACGTCAAGTTAATTGCGACTTCAACACAACCTAAATTGTAATCCTTGCATTTTGGGTTGAGGGTTTATATCTTCTGGATTTAATGCCACATGGTCTTCCGGTGACTTTTATTTTGAAGGTTAATCTGTTGTGTCGCCTTTCTTCAGTAAGGCAGTGGACCTCTAGCTGGAAATGCGTGGCTTCAGTTCTTCTTCAGGTTGAATATTTAGCTTCTGTTCGACTTCAGGCACTTTAAAACTACAAGGCCCGTCTGCTAAGAATGTAACTGAGCTATCTGGGGGAAAGGGCAGCAGCGGATGTGATAAGCTAACCTGGCCGAAAAGGTAAGGATTTGGCACTTCAGCCTATTATTTACACTTAAAGAACATAAAAAAAAACGGAGGGGAAAAGGCTTAAGAGGAAATTTGACATAATTTCGACATTTCTGGCTAAAACTATTGTTAGTTGGCAATTATTAAGCCTTTAACGCCGCTAGCTTGGTAGCTCTGATGTTGACGTGGTACTAGACAACAAAACTATTAAAACTACAAATATTTCCTGTTTTTCCCAGGTGTGAGATTCGGAGTAATGCCTTAAGGAATTCCAGGAGTCCAGGAAATTCGTGTCGAAACCTCAAAATTGAACAGTAGCTTGGAATAAGCTAAGCTGGGTGTGATACTGACTTACTGAAAACAACCTGGAGACCCCACAGAGTTATAAACATAGAAAAATGCTATAAACATAGCAAAGCGCTATGTTTATAACTGATGGCTTTGTACAGGAAAGATACTGCTTGTCAAGGACAGATTTAGCAATCTACAGAGGCTAAGTCGCCTCTGAATTGCTGAACGGGTTCAACACGCCTTACGGGTGTGTCTTGCCCGCAACGTTATTTTTGCCCCGGCTTGAATCTTCGAGGTATATTAGCATTTGAGAAACTGCAAGGGGCGATTATCTCTCCAATTCCTTCTGGTTAAACTTTTAATAAGTTATGTCTTCTATAGTGGGAAGAGCGTGGGGGTGGGTGCGCGACTGGGGTCGTACCTCACAAAATACCCCAACGTTGTGCCAAAAGCAGCATGCAAAAGGTAACTGGGGATCTTGGATGTGGGGAGGGTGGAGAACAGGAAGTGACCAGAGTGCCCTAGGAGAGGAGTACTGGGAGGCACAGGAGAAACTGCAACCCATGGAAATAGAAGATCTTGATTCAGGAAAACCAGAGACAGAGCTACAGGTGTCCTGGTGGTGGAGCAAATATCTCCCTGCGTCATATCTGTGGTCAAGAAAAACTGCTAAAAACAGCCTGAGACAAAGAAAAGGTGATCGTCGAAGGGGAGATAAAGGTGATGTTGATGGGGACTTGTCTGATTATGGAACCCCTCCTCCATCTCCCACTCCTTCTCAGCTGACCTCTCCATTCAGATTTTTCACAGATAGCTGGAATTTGGAGATTATCCCAGAGCACTACGAGATTTGCTTCAACTTCCTTCGGCATTTGTTTGACCTGTTTGTAGTTGCCTTCCTGTGGCTTGTGTCCCCTCCTGCCAAACTGATCCTGGAGGTGTTTGGTGTCCAGGGAGCTCTGAGGCTGTGGTTTCATGGCATGGCCATGTTTTTTGTCTCAACAGCTGGAATGGCAGGATTGCTGTGGTTGATTCAGGAGTATCTCCCTCAGTTTGCTTTGATCTATGGCATCATACAAGCATTGGTGATCTCTGTAAGTGTACGACAAAGTGTAATCCTTGGAGTGGAAGAAGACAAAGAAAATATCCAGGAGGTGAAAGAGACTGGTGAAAAGAAAGACACCGCAGACAATGGAGATATGCTTTTTTTCTAAGGAACTGCTGAAGACAAGGTTAGCCTAAGGTGAGCCTCTTCTGAAATGTTCAAATCCTGCCTAATAATAAATGTTACCTACCAGCCAATTTTTAATACACAGAGTAAAACTGAAGCAGTACAACACTATAATCTTTTCTTACATGAAGAAATGTGTATCACATTCTACTGTTTGAAGTTAGATCAGTCAACTTTCAGTCATGACTCATGTGACAAGCAATGTGTGTAGCAGCTAATGTCTGTCTTCATGTCATCAGACATGAAGACATTACAGGAGAAAGCCATCAAAAATTTAAATGTCATGAAAAAATTGATTTATGTCAGCAATTCCTGTCAAAAAGTGAAATTTGGATGTTTGTTACACACAGACTGATATATTTTAATTGTTTATTTCTTTTAATGTTGATGTTTATTACTCATAACTAATGAAAAGCCCAAATTCAGTATCTCATAAAATTTGAATATTAAGACCAATACAAAAAAGACATTTTAAAAATATTGGCCAACTGAAAAGTATGAGCATGTACCGCACTCAGTACTTAGTTGGGTCTCCTTGTCCCCAGATTACTGCAGCAATTCAAGGAGTTTTTATCACCTTTGCTTGTTTGTGGTACAAATTTGGACTACACAAACAAAGAATAAAGTAATTTATGTGACGTGTCTATTAAAAGAAAATGTATGTGTTGAAAATAATTTATAAGATGAAGTTGAGTTAGGTGCAGCTTGAGTTCCAACAGTCTAATGGCTGAAGGGAAGAAACTGTTCCTCAGCCTGGTGGTCTTGCTCCGGCTGCATCTCAGCCTCCTGCCTGAGGAGAGCAGCTGAAACAGTCTGTGTGCAGGATGGGTGGAGTCCTTCTTGAGGGCCCTCCTGCATTGAGCTGTGTCCAAGAGGTCCAAGGTGGAGGAAAGGTGCTCCCTACAGTCCTCTGTGCAGCCTTAATCGCCCTCTGCAGAGCCATCCTCTCAGCAGCAGTGCATCTGCCATGCCACATGGTGATGCAGGTGAAGAGAACGCTTTGCACCACACAGCTATAGAAGCTCTTCAGGACTGAGTTCTCAAGTAAAGCTCTCAGGAAGCTGTGGAGACACTGGTGGGCCTTCCTGACCAGAGAGGAAGTGTTGGTACTCCAGGTGAGGTTACTGGATATGCCTGTATATTGCCAATATACAGGCAATCTCCAATTGCCTGTATATTGGAGATTGCTTCTCCAATATACAGGGGTGAAGAGGATCCTTGTCCCTTCTAAAATCCACCACAGTCTCCTTTGTCTTCTTCACATTGATGCAGAGGTTATTATCTTTGCACCACTGCATCAGCTGTTCCACCTCCTTAATGTATTTGGACTCATTATTGCTAACCCTTGCTCTAACCCACTACTGCTGTGTAATCTGCAAACATCGCTATATGACAAATGGGGTGTCTTGCTGAGCAGTCAGCAGTGAAGAGGAGGGGACTCAGCACAGAGCCCTACAGCGAGCCAATGCTGACGATGATGGAGGAGGAGACGATGTTGTGGATTCTGACAAACTGTTGGTCAGGAAGTCCAGAATCCAGTTCACCAGTGTGGAACTAGGTTGGAGAGAAGAAAGCTTCTGCGCCAGGGTCTGTGGGAATGTTGTGTGACATGGAGCTGATCAGTCTGTCGCACTGCTAAGTTGTTATAGAGTCCAGGTTGATTAGATAGTGACCTTCAGCTTTTCTGAATTGTTGGATCTGGAGTATCACACCTTCCTCCTCACAATACCTCAGAGATCTTCCATGGGGTTAGGTCAGGTTAGTTTGCTAGCCAAGTAGGAACAGAGATGCCCTGGTCTTTAAACAAGGGACTGGTAACTTTAGCACTGTGTGCAGAAAAATGAAATCTGCATCTCCATAAAGTTGGTCGGCAGCAGGAAGCATGAAGTTCTCTAAAACATGCTGGTAGATGGCTGCATTGACCTTGGACCTGAGTAAACACAGTGGACCAACACCAGCGGATGACATGGTACCCTAAACCTTCACTGACTGGAAACTTGAATTGGACCTCAAGCATCTTGAATTCTATGCCTCTCCTCTCTTCCTCCAGACTCTGGAACCTTGATTTTCAAAGGAAATACAAAATTGACTTTAATCAGAGAACATAACTGAATCATTCAGGAGTAGTTCAAGAGTGGCTTGACAAAAGGAATGTGACAGCTGAAACCCATGTCTTACGTGTTATACCTTGAAGGACCGACTGCAGCTGCAGTCCATTCTTTGTTAATCTTCCCCACATTTTTAAATGGATTTTGTTTCACAATCCTCTCCAGGATGTGGTCATATCCAGAGTGCCGGTCCATTTTTTCCTCCTGACTACATCTTTTCCTTCCCTTCACTTCTTCATGAATGTGCTTGGACACAGAGCACTGTACACACACTTGGCTTCATTAGTGACCTTTGAGTGTTGTCCTCTTGTGCAAGGTGTCAAAGGTCATCTTTTGGACAACTGTAAGATCAGCAGTCATCCCCCATGTTTGTGTAACCTACAGAACTGAGGCAATTTAAAATCGCTTGCAGGTGTTATCTGATTAGTATGTGGCACCAGTGGTCTTCAATATTGAACCTTTTCACATTATTCAGATTTTCTTGAAAACTTCAAATTCAGTATCTATTAATTGTTAGGAGTAATCAACACTAAAATAAATAAATATTTAAAATATGTCAGTCTGTATGTAATAAATTAATAATCAAATTTCACTTTTTGAATGAAATTACTGATTTAAATCAACCTTTTCATGATAGTTGATAAACTGATAGAAACATGTCAACTGTAGTTCTTGTTGCATCAGTTGTGCTCAGTGATGGATAAGAAAACAGAGAATTATGTCTAACTATTCTTCCAGATTCATGATTTTCTTTCACTTCATTGGCTTATACAAATGCTTTTGATGTTTATCCCACTCCTATGTATTGGAGATAGATCATATTTGCATAATCACTGTGGGCAGAGTCTCTCTTATGGTGTAGCCCAGATAATTGGATATTTTTAAAGTATTTAAGTCACATGCTTTAAGATGATCAGATGGCATTATTAAACTAAATTGAGCAAAAACATTGAACAGAGTAAAAATCAAGTTGCTTCCCATAGTACATTCATGTGCCACTTTACAAACATCTGTGGAAATGTTAAACATAATTGATATTTATCATCTCATGCTTTCCCTCTATAAAGAGCAATTGACAGTCTATCAAGAATTTAAAGAATTCGATTTTCTCTATAAGGTTTACAGAAAAATGGTCATGTTAGTAACAATTGGTCTAAACAACAAAGGAACAGCTAAATAAACATATATTAAAACAAGTTTTCTAAACTTGAGCTTCTAAAATCCTTATAATTTTGTATAATATCTACTGTCCTTCAATTTATGATTTTTTAGCTGTAACCATGTGGTTACTTACTAAAATAGTTTTCTAGTAAGAAAAACTATTTTAAACCCGGACTCTATAAAGCACTGGTAGATTAATTTGTTGATTTATTTAATGTATCAAAAGCAACAAAGGAATATGTTGGGAAGTGAAGTCTGTCAGCAGTTGGAATCAGTTTAGGTTTCCTGATTTAAATGCTGAAAAGAATGTTCTCTTTTATAGCTGTCTTGAACTCTTCTGGACCCTTTTCCTGCAGACTTATTGTGTTTTCTTCCATGAAATTTCTCTTTTCCACAGAAGATGCAGGAATTCAGCTGCTACAGCCTTTCTCCAAATGTGTGACTCCACAGACACTGACAGATTGTGTATACCACTAAATTCATTAGTTATAATCATAGTTCATTTTTGATTTAGTTTGGAGAAGTTGTTTCTCTTTGTTTTTCCTTAAATAGTGTCTGTATTCTGCAAACATCTTCTCATCACCATGAATGTTTATAATAAAACTAAATGCTGAGAATGTTGGGTATATGAGTGTTGAGGAGAATGCTACTGTATGTCAAATAAGAGTCTAGAAATAGCCAGGACTTTGCTATTTTCTAAATGTAGCATTTACATTTAATTTGTTGTCATTTACTATTCACATTGTATACAGTGGCTCTCTAAAGTCTACTCCCACTGATTAAAATACCCATTATTGTGAAGTGAAAAATATGATCATGGTAAATCATTTAAATATTTTCCACATAATGACGTATGTGCTGCACAGTTCAAGTGGACAATAAACAAATGCTTTAAAAGGAAGAGTATAAAAGGTACAATGACCCAGTTGCAGAATTGTGTTTGTTTCATCTTTTTCTTTGCACAGTTAAATCCTTTGTCCTCTGCAAATTATTCAGCTGCTGGAGCAGCAGGATTTACTGAAAGTGAATTTGGGAAGCACTAACTGCATATTTAGTCTCACTACTGGCTGTAGTGCTAAAAAATATAATGGTGCATCTAAAGTATGTAACTTATGAAAAATGTCATGTATTTATTGAAACTGTCACAACATGGTGACAGTATGAGACAGATAATCTGACATCAACCTCCTCTGCCTTCTCTCTCCCAGTGTTTCCAACACCACTCTGTCACAAACGTGCAATCAGAGCCTGGAGTTTGGTGTCTGTGCTGTCAATCACACATGTACACATGGTCTTTGCTACATCTTCTTCTCAAGAGCACAGCCTGCCATGAATAACAAGGCTTGTTAGCACGGCCACCAATGACAGCAGATAAACTGTTTTCCTTTAATGCTAAGTTGTTCCTCCACCATTTGCACATTGCACATCATACACAAGCATGATTGACAGTGCTAAGACACTCCTTTCTGTCTTTGAATGAAAACTGCATTTCTTAGATGCCAACAGCAGTACAGGAAGGAGATGGAGGAGATCAGTTCTTTCACAGATTATCTGCCTTGTACTGTCACAACATGTGCAACATTTTTTTTTCATTTTAAACTTATTTTTTTTAAATGACAGTTACATACTGCAGCTTTAAAAGTCTGTTTAACAGAAGAGGAGAAGAGGACAATCCAGTTGAGCCTTTATTACACTTTGGTATTGCAACTTTAACACCACACACTTCAATCTAGATTTTTTTTGTGATGTACTATATTTTTGTTGGATTGCAGTTGCGGTTTTGAATATCAAACTTTAGTTCAGGAATTGAAAACTTATGAGGCATTTGGAGCATCCTGTACACACATTCCAAAACATACTATTCATAGGATATAAATATGTCTTTTACTCTCCGTTGATTACATATTTGGATTATAATAATATAGATGATGTGGAAATACATGATTGGTTCATTGTTTTCCAAGCCACAGAGAAACTAGCTTTAAGTGAAATAAATTCTGCTTTCTCAATATTTTAAAGGGTGCCTTGAACTTAATTTTTGAATAAATTAAAGTTTTGGTTGGTAAATGTTTCATTTTCACATGTTCTTTCAAAACAGGTTTTTACTGTTGAATGTTAAAGCAATTGTCTTTTTCAGAATTATTAAACTAATGAGCAGCACACTAAAGTATTGTTGATTCTTCATGTTGATTCAAAGGCACCAAAATGGAAATGAATAAAATCATCTGGTTTCATTGCATGATTCCACTCTCAGCACTTTTACTTTTTTTAGCCTGAAGATATGGAATTATTTGGAACTGTGTTGATGCTTGTAAGATATTGAAGCCTGTCCAGTGAAAGTTGTGTTATTGTTTTCAGGGCCAATAATACACAATAAAGTGTAATAAAAATCAGTGTTCAATATTTTTCTGAGCACAAAAGTAATTGGATTAAATTATTGTAATGTATGGTAGCAAACTATTAGCTATACACTCTACCTTGAATTTCTGTTGGACTTTTTTTTAAATCATAAAAAGGCTAGAAAGTGTATTTTTTATGTTCAATAAATATTCTAAAGGTGAATGAAAGTGTTCCTGAGTAAACCTGGATGGCAAATTTAAAGTAAACGTTTAATTTGTCTCACAGATAAACCTTTTGTAGCCTTTTCTCCACCTGCATTTCTCCCAACTGTTTCAGTACATTTAGGACAGACAACATCCAAGGGTCTATCTATGCTAAACTTTTTTATGTTTGCTTGTGGTTGTGGAACCTTTTTTGAAAGTAAAACTAAGACCCAAGATATTTTTAATGAGCAGAATTGCACCTTGCAAGGAGGACCTCCTTATTGGCTGCACTGTAAAGTTTATTGATGGACCTTAGAGAAGTACAATATGTGTTTTATGCTGTTCTGTAATATCTGCCTATGAAAGATGTGAATACTTTGTAATTAAAGTCAATGTTTCTTGTACTTCTTTTCTGTACTTGTACTTCTTTTCTGGTTTATGAATTTCTGTTATTGAAATTATATATTTGAGATGATTTATTTTAAAACAAATTCATAGCTTTTAAAGTTACTGCAGAAAAAAAAACCTTCCTCCTCACAATACCTCAGAGATCTTCCATGGGGTTAGGTCAGGTTAGTTTGCTAGCCAAGTAGGAACAGAGATGCCCTGGTCTTTAAACAAGGGACTGGTAACTTTAGCACTGTGTGCAGAAAAATGAAATCTGCATCTCCATAAAGTTGGTCGGCAGCAGGAAGCATGAAGTTCTCTAAAACATGCTGGTAGATGGCTGCATTGACCTTGGACCTGAGTAAACACAGTGGACCAACACCAGCGGATGACATGGTACCCTAAACCTTCACTGACTGGAAACTTGAATTGGACCTCAAGCATCTTGAATTCTATGCCTCTCCTCTCTTCCTCCAGACTCTGGAACCTTGATTTTCAAAGGAAATACAAAATTGACTTTAATCAGAGAACATAACTGAATCATTCAGGAGTAGTTCAAGAGTGGCTTGACAAAAGGAATGTGACAGCTGAAACCCATGTCTTACGTGTTATACCTTGAAGGACCGACTGCAGCTGCAGTCCATTCTTTGTTAATCTTCCCCACATTTTTAAATGGATTTTGTTTCAAAGTTCTCAGAATTCAGATATCCCTAATGCTGATAGACTTTTTTTTTTTCAACCACATCTTTTCCTTCCCTTCACCACTCTACGGATGTGTTTGGACACAGAACTCTGAACAGAGTTTTTGTGACTTGCCCTCTTGTGCTGGGTGTCAAAGGTCATCTTTTGAACATCTGATCAGCAGTCATCCTCATGATAACCTAAAAAAACTAGACTGAGACCAGTTATGTGTGTTTTGAACTAATTAGGTGTGTGGCACCAGGTATCTTCAATACCTTTTCAAAATATTCAAATTTTCCGAGATGCTGAATTAGGAGTCTTCATTAGTTGTCAGTTCTAATCATTAACATTAAAATAAATAAACATTAGAAAAATATCAGTCAGTATGTAATGAATAAATATTATATACAGTTAGGGCCAGAAATATTTGGACAGTAACACAATATTTGTGAGTTGGGCTCTGCATGCCACCGCATTGGATTTGAAATGAAACCTCTACAACAGAATTCAAGTGCAGATTGTAACGTTTAATTTAAAGGGTTTAACAAAAATATGTGATAGAAAATGTAGGAATTGTACACATTTGTTTACAAACACTCCACATTTTAGGAGCTCAAAAGTAATTGGACATATAAACATAACCCAAACAAAAAAGTTTTTTCTCAATATTTTGTTGCGAATCCTTTGGAGGCAATCACTGCCTTAAGTCTGGAACCCATGGACATCACCAAACGCTGGGTTTCCTCCTTCTTAATGCTTTGCCAGGCCTCTACAGCCGCAGCCTTCAGGTCTTGCTTGTTTAGTGGGTCTTTCCGTCTGAAGTCTGGATTTGAGCAAGTGAAATGCATGCTCAATTGGGTTAAGATCTGGTGATTGACTTGACCATTGCAGAATATTCCACCTTTTGCTCTCATGAACTCCTGGGTAGCTTTGGCTGTATGCTTGGGGTCATTATCCATCTGTACTGTGAAGCGCCGTCCGATCAACTTTGCAGCATTTGGCTGAATCTGGGCTGATAGTATATCCCGGTACACTTCAGAATTCATCCGGCTACTCTTGTCTGCTGTTATGTCATCAACAAACACAAGTGACCCAGTGCCATTGAAAGCCATGCATGCCCATGCCATCACGTTGCCTCCACCATGTTTTACAGAGGATGTGGTGTGCCTTGGATCATGTGCCGTTCCCTTTCTTCTCCAAACTTTTTTCTTCCCATCATTCTGGTACAGGTTGATCTTTGTCTCATCTGTCCATAGAATACTTTTCCAGAACTGGGCTGGCTTCTTGAGGTGTTTTTGGGCAAATTTAACTCTGGCCTGTCTATTTTTGGAATTGATGAATGGTTTGCATCTACATGTGAACCCTTTGTATTTGCTTTCATGGAGTCTTCTCTTTACTGTTGACTTAGAGACAGATACACCTACTTCCCTGAGAGTGTTCTGGACCTCAGTTGATGTTGTGAACGGGTTCTTCTTCACCAAAGAAAGTATGCGGCGATCATCCACCACCGTTGTCTTCCGTGGACGCCCAGGCCTTTTTGAGTTCCCAAGCTCACCAGTCAATTCCTTTTTCCTCAGAATGTACCCGACTGTTGATTTTGCTACTCCAAGCATGTCTGCTATCTCTCTGATGGATTTTTTCCTTTTTTTCAGCCTCAGGATGTTCTGCTTCACCTCAATTGAGAGCTCCTTTGACCGCATGTTGTCTGGTCACAGCAACAGCTTCCAAATGCAAAACCACACACCTGGAAACAACCCCAGACCTTTTAACTACTTACTTGATTACAGGTTAACGAGGGAAAGGCCTTTTGAGTTACTTGCAGCCTTTAGAGTCCATTGTCCAATTACTTTTGGTCCCTTGAAAAAGAGGAGGCTCTGCATTACAGAGCTATGATTCCTAAACCCTTTCTCCGATTTGGATGTGGAAACTCTCATATTGCAGCTGGGAGTGTGCACTTTCAGCCCATATTATATAAATTGTATTTCTGAACATATTTTTGTCAACAGCTAAAATAACAAAACCTGTGTCACTGTCCAAATATTTCTGGGCCTAACTGTAGGTAAACCGGATAACAGAAATTATGCTGAATGCAAGTGAACAGGTGAACACTTCTGTACATGAAGTACTATAGAACTATGTCAGCTTCAGGAATGAACTTGTATCAAACCTGGAATAAACTAGTTTTTTTGGAACCATCAAAATGTAAACACTTAAGCCATGTTGATTGTGAGATTATTTTTAGTTTTCATAACTAAGTACCTCCATGAAGAGTTTTATCTGCTGTATTTTTATCTTATGGAGAAGCTTTGTAACATTGATACTAAAGTCAGAGAAGTGAAACAATTTTATTGTGGCTCATCATGTTTCACACCATTTTGGGATAAGTTGAAAATGGTTTACTTATGTCATGATACCAGAGGGAACTTGTTGATACATACATTGTAACTTTAATCACAGTTCAAAACTTGATTTCACATTATATCTCCTCCTTTATACTAACAATATATACAGGAAGGTGAATTACCAGTACAAGAACGACGTATGTACTGAATCAGTTTGTAGAGATGGTACAGAAAGTGATATAAATGAGCTGACATATCCTCACACATCAAACTGTGCAAAGACAAAAATGATAGTGAGTCATGACAGTCGTCACAGCAGAGAAACAAAGAAGCAGTCAGACCTTTCCTTCTGTTCTTAATGTCAAAATCTGTGAAAGTAATAAAACTCAGAAATCAGCACTAAAAACACAGGCTCCTGTTATCAGGTTTATGGAGGTGCAGAGTATTTCTCTACTGCTTGTTGGTGGTAGAGAAATACTCTGATGGCAGCCTACAAGTTTGTCATTTAAGAAGTGAAACAAACACAACAGATACTTCCTGATCACCCATTTTTTATATTTTTTGTAAACATCCAAGCTCCCCCTCCCAATTGCTGCTCAATTAAATCCTATTAAACTGGTGGAAACAATGAGTTCTCAGATTTAATCCAAATTCAACATGAATTGAATTATGACTATTTACTGACACTCAGTTAGAATTTTTCATAGTTTAAACGCATTAGGTTAGACCTCCCTTTTTCATGCTATTTTAAAACATTCTTTATATTTGAAAGAGATGAGCCATACACACTATATATACACCGCATCTGATCAAACTGAGTCAAAATCACAAGTGAAAGCCCTGACGGCAAGTCCCTAAAAAACCCCCAAGTATTCAACTAATCATCCTGCACCCAACTGAAACTAACATGAGCACTGGAGCTCAAATCAAATCCCTTTTGAACTTTATTAGAAATATAATGACTACCAGTTGAGAATTGAAATCAAGACATAAATCAATCACGAGGGCTAAAAAAAATGAAAACTGCTCAGAAACTCCCTGGATATTTCTGGATCAATGCATATCACAATTCAGAATTTCATAAATACAAAGCATATGCTATGTTTAATAAAAACTGATTTACATAAAAAAATAAAACACAATCCTAAAAACTGATGTGTGCAACTGGTAGCTCTGTAAGCAGAGGTTATATGGCAGTCGGTAAAACTGAATTAACAGTAGCTTTAATCAGTTTATAATCACAGAAATATATGCTTACATACAAAGAGAAAAAATATATTTTCAATCATTTTTTTTCTCCCAAAAGCAATTTTATTTATTATTGCAAAACTAAAAAATAGATTGTCATCAGTTATGAGAAGGCCAGTGTTCCAGTCTGATTAAGTCCAATTTACCAACATAATTTTGATTTTCTGAAAGTTCTTCAATTGCAGCTCAAAATTGAAGCTTGCAATGAGTTGCTTGATGCCAATGGAAGTGTTTTTTCAGTGCGGTGGTTGGATGGGAATAAAAAGCAACATTCATTTGAGTCAGAAGGTCTTGCTGCTATGACAACTGTCCAAGAAAATCCAATTTTAATAAGAAATGAATCAAGTAAATATTGTTAAACTAGATCATGCCTTGTGGAACAGTGAATACTTAAGATTTACATGTTGAGAGAAAACTACAGACGGGTTTGACCAGGAGAAGGAAAACAAGCCAACTTTGCTCATTGTCATCTTATGAACTTAAATAAACTGAAGATACAAACTAACTGTATGTGTAGGTAAATATAAAGTGCTTTCTAAAACAAAAATAAAAAATAAATGATTAAAAACGTACTTTTTAATTATGTTTAATATGCTTTCATGTTAGGTGGAGACAACAGAATCTATCATTGGTTTTGTCAGCTAAACGGTAAATACTGCTCACAATATTATAGATCTTTGTATGCCCAGTCTGTTAAATTTCCCGTACTTGTGGAAAGATAGTAAAGCAAATCCACATCCAAATATAATGGATTGCATGTATTAACCCAAGAAAAACACAGCATAAACTGAGACCAGCAAATAGAATCACAATGCCATCAGTAGTGTATAATAGAACCTGCTGCCCATCTATGTGACATCACGGTTTGTTTCAGACACCTGACAGTCAGAAAGTCCGATGAGCTGCTGGAGAGATGCAGCATGGCTCAATATTTTGCTAAAATGACAAAGTGAGTTTTTAGATCTGCATGAACCTTATTATAATAACGTTTCAGAAGTGTTAAAAGTTGTTACTAAATCTCTGAACAAACAACATTTTTGCACTCAACTGCAGTTTTATAACAATTTAATCGGCTAAAAGTAAATTACTGAATGCACTAATGTGCTGAACAACAATTGAACAATTTCTGTTTTCTAACATCTTACAGTCAAAACAACTGCTTTACATAAAGGTTTTCTAGACTAACAAGGTTACATCTCAATTTATATCCACACAGCCGACAACATTTGAGGCCAATGCGTGTTTCAAAGCACTGGATTGAGAATCTAATGAGAAAAGAAATGAAAAGAGAAAAAACATTCTAGCACTATATTCATGCAGTGAAAATGCAGCAGCCACAGTTTTTGCTATGTGCCTTTAGTTCCTGCTGACATTGGTTAAAACATCTTTGAGAGTGAAATCACACAGAAACAGAAACAATCCATTATCGAACATTTTATTTTACTCTGAGCTGCTCATTTTATGAGTAGCTCATTTCAAACTACTTGAGCTGCTGAGGGAAAGATGATTTAACAGTAACAAGGCTTCCCACTCAAGATGCTCTCTGCTTTTGAGCAGAGCAGCAGTAAGAGGTTGAAGCTGTGCTCCAGCAGCTGGAACTTTCTGACTTCAGGTTTGTCTGTAGCTCTCAGAGGAAACTAAACTAAAACAACAGAGCAGTTTGTAAAATGGAACATTCCCAAACACACTTTGTGTTGCACGTTAATGTTTGTGTGTCCCTCCAGCACTTGGAGGCGCTCTGGTTCCTTCATCAGGCCTCTGTTCATGTCCTTTCCTGCCGTGGCCCAGGATGCAGTTAGCACTTCCACACCCTTCGTCATCATCGTCTCCCTCACTTTCAGAGGATGATTCCCCAAACTGTCTGGGCTTTTCATAAATACAGCAACCTGGAACACAACATGCAGCTGGATCAGGATGGATATAAAAAACAACAACACCATGTTTTGCAGCCAAGATGTGTTCATATAAATACTCAATAAGTGTCAGATTTAGCATCACTACAACATAAATACCCCTCACTTTCTCCAAAAAGCCCCCAAAAGTTGACAATTGTATTTCTTGGAACATCATTCACTGTGGTATTGTTCTGATAAGCTTTTGCAACATTACAAGATTTATTTCCATCTAGTGTTGCATTCATCTTTCACCATGGTCTTATATTGGTGATGGAAGAATCTGACCACCAGACAAAGCGTTCTCCAACACATCCCAGATATTCTCACTGGGTTAAGGTATGAAGTCTGATGTGTCCTGCTCCCTGAACCACTTGCCTTCCTGGAATAAGGTCATGACATCAGGCAAAAGAAAAGCCACTGATGGAACAACCAGGGCATTCCTGATCTCCAGGCAGTCAGACGACCTCATAATGTTGCTGAAGCTGAACCTGACCAAGTGCAGTGACCCCAGAGCCCACTGCGGCCTTCACAGGCTGCTACAGTAGACTCTAGGGACGATGGATCATCACTTCATCTTTCTCTCTTCTTACCCTGATGTAACAATGATTCTAGAAGAAGGTCAATCTGATCTCAGACCACATGACTATCCTTTAATCTTTATGCTTCCTTGCAAATTGAAGCCTTTTTCTCCAGTTAGTCTCACTGAGAAGTGGCTTTCCTATGGCTGCACATGTTCAGATGATATCCTGGTTCTCCTCACACATTAAACACATCAGTCAGAAGGCCAGCAGATTCTACAACCTTCATGCTGGCATCACTTACAATCTGTATGTGTTCAGAGAATCAAATGCCAACATCCTTAATTATAAGTAAACTTTTTAAACCATGGAGATTTTGGATTTTTTATTTCTTGCTGAAACATGGTAAAAAGATGGAAATGATTGTTATTTTAATGAAATATGTTCTTCAAGTTTCTATTTATGCGAGATTATTCCTGCCAGGTTATGGTTGTTTGTCCTGTTGCCCTGCGACAGACTGGCAACCTGTCTCACACCAGCACCTCCCGACCCCACTAGAGACAAGAGTGTTAGAAAATGGATGGATGGAAAAGCTGGCTTCAAAACAGAATCCAGCCCGGGTATTGCTAAAAGTGGAAATATCCTGTCAAAAAATGGCACAAAAAACAGTGTTTCACTGTTCTCTTTCATTTCATTCTCCTACATGAGAATCGGAATATACTTTATTGATCCCCATTGGGAAATTGCTTATTTGTTGTCTATCTACTCCATCAAAAGTGTTATTTATAAGCAAATACAAATTTAACCATAAGAGATATAAAATTTATAAATATATATCTACATAAGTTTGATATATGCAATTTCAATATTTCCTAGATGTAACAAAAAGAAATGAAATAATATATTAAGTCTGTACATGGAAATATGTTAATCTATTACTAGGCCTTCAAATCCTTCATTTCTGCCAAATAACACTTTGCTGTTTCACATAAGCGATTTAAACTCACACTTAGAAGATCGTCTTCCCAGGTGCTCATTGTCAACTGTGTCACTGGACCACTCCACCTTCTTCTCAGTCTTCCTCTTCCTCAGCTTGATTGTCAAACTCCGTCCTTCCTGTAAATAAGAGAAATACATTTCCATATTACTGTCCAGTTACTCCAGTACTATTTTTTAAAATCAGGCAACAAATTCAAACTAGACACAACATTTTAATCAAAATATTACTTTGTTAAGGAATAGTCGCATTTTTTAATTACATAAGTCTCAATGCGATTTTAAATAATTAGCAAAAGATACTCAAAACGTTCATCACTTGGTAAATAACACTTCTGTCTAACCAACTAGATCAATCTGTGCTGTAATTTATCTGTGATCTTAATACACTTGTGTAATCTTGTGTGGTGAATAGACTATCAACAGTGACATTGAAAATATATTAATACTGAGAAAGACCCTATTTTTATTAGCTGACCAATAGTAAAAAGTTATCTTTCGTTAGCAACAACAGTGCTACTAGGCCTCCTCTTACTGGCGGAACGGCTAAACGGCGTGTCGGCTGAGATATCGCTAGCTGGATACCGATACCACTGGACAAGTTTGTATCAGTACCAGAATTTTAGATCATGACCACGGTAGTCACGAAATCCATCTGAACACAGCCACAGAACACCCTCTAAAGCTGCTCATGCCCACAGTGTTGCATACCGACCTTAATTTATGGTAATTGGTTTTATGCATCTAGCGTTTAGTGATTAGGACTAAATAATAACGGTAGTATTAGGCTTCGTACATTAATAAAGAGCGGCGAGTTAATGGCTCCTTTTTCACCTTCCAACATGCCTTGTAAGCAGTAATGGGTGATTGGGTATATTACAAATCAATTACCCAGCAAAACAGCCTTTGGCCCCTTATTTAAGCATGTACCTGCTGTGGAGGCGGCGGTGTATTGGTCTGAACAGTCTCCGTTATCGTCTCACTGGATGTTCCGGGAACCTCCGCCATCCCTTTAGCTGCTCTGCTAACGCTACCGTTAGCTTATCTTAAGATCCAAACCGACTGGAATCTGACCTCTGTGAGGTGGAAGTTGTAGGTATGGGGCAAGCTGAGAAGATCACAAAATGCCAATTAAACGATTAATATAAGCCCGAAGACTATGAATTTATACTTGAGACTACATAAATTGCAAAAAAAAAAAAGAACCTGACTTGAACCGGATGTAGTTTCTTCTTCTTCTTTAGATGTTAACGGCAGCTTGCATCCATTATTGTTGCACTACTGCCATCTATTGGATCCTAATATGTAACCCTCAAATTCTCATAATGATCCCGATATTTTTTTAAAGACGAAAAATTTTTTTTTCCCCCTCAATACTATTTAACTTATCAACCACATTCTCAAATTTCAATTCCCTATTTCATTTTTATTTGAATCCTCCACCCATTCTAAAGCTAATAATAATAATAACAACCATTATTATTATTATTATTACTATTACTATTATTATTAATAATAATAAATTTATTTAGAATAAAAATGGCAGTTCCGTCTGTGTTTCCGGTTTGCGGCGGATGTTGCGGAAGATGAAAACTGACGGACTTCCTTTCAGTCCGTCAGGTTAAAGCAGCCCGTGAATTTGAGTCCAATGGTGTGAACTGACAGTTTGAGGGTATTTATTACATTTGCATTTAAAAGGATAATGAAGAAGCTTTACGATATTGATTTATATTAGCTCCACTATTTCAGACGTTTTTAAGGACGTTGAAGGGATATTTACAATAAGTCAGCTAAGTTAAATGTGGTGTACTTTGAAAATACATGCATTCACGAAGTTAGATTTGTGACCTTTATTCCGTGTATATTTAAAATCCTAACCTGTAAACAATGAAACTTACGTTGGAATTGATCAGGTTGTACCTTTATATTTTTCATCTCTAGGGTATTTCGTAGCTCAGGATGTGGACTAAAGGTTATTGTCCAAAGGCGAGGCTGGTCGCGAAGACAGCCACCAAACTGTGGTCCAGCAAGCCTCCAGAACCTTCTCGCCCTGTCCCTTCTGCTCAGCCGCGGCCACAAGTCCAAAAACTCAGACGCAGACAAGAACGGGAAAAGACTATACTGTCAGCTCAACATAATGTAAGCCAAGTAGACTAAGCACACAGACTGAAGTACTAAAAAGCAAAGACTTTATAAAGTGTGTAATTTCATGGGATGAAATACTAATATCTTTCTATCAAACTTTTAAGTAGTCAGAAAACTAACTTGAAGTGCATATAATGCACAACAGATAAAATTTTGTCAATGCTAATAGACAAGTTGCATCCCAATGATTTAACAGTTTGTGGATGCACCCTTAGAAGCACTAATATAAGGTAGCTGTATAGAGACAGCTATTCTCTAGTTAAGATATGCTTTTTAGAGGTGTATGTATGGACTTTTAGTTCACAGATAATTTGTCCATTGGGGTATTAAAGTATTCTGAATCTAAAATTTTAGTCATGTAATGGGTATTGAGAGCAGGACCCAAAATGCAGACAGCACCAGTTAGAGAGGATGCAGGAATCAAAATGACTCAACTTTATTTTAACTCAGCAAGCTTCAACAATTCTGCAACTGAAAAACTTCACTGAAGGTTAAATTATTCAGTTAAGGCAGGTGTAATGACAGGCAATGACAACCAGGTGTGAGCCACACATACATTAAAAAAACATAGATTAAGAGAAAAGTGCCACGACCTTGCAGTATCAGACTGGCACACTCATGCCAGTCTGATACTGTATGGCCACAGTCTTAATTATTTAAAACAATAGACTTCAAATTGTCAAGAAATTGCCTTATACCCCTTTTCAAAATACACTTGCTTCTTGAATGTCATTGGTGGTTTCATTCCTTTGTAGCATTGTGTTATTGCAAAACTGTCATACTGAAAAAAACTGACAGACCAGAAAAAATAAACTACTTTATAAAAGTATTTTCATTTCATTGTGATAAATTAATTTAGAGCAAAATATCAGCGCTTTCTCTCGCTGGGTGCTTTCGCTTTATCTGTCTGTCTGAATCTATCAATCTTATTTATCTATCTAATCTAACAAATTGACTTTATATTGTTTTCTGTGAAGAGGTATGGGCCAGTTTGACAAGGAAACTAGCCCCTCTTTGGCCCCTGTCTTGAACTTCTCATGCATGAATTGATGGATACATGATTGCTACCAAAATATCACTATTTCAGAATGAACAGTGCCTGCTGAATACATATTTTTGCTTTCAGAAAGTTGGAGATCAAACATTAAACTGGAGTGAAAAACAGAAAATAGCATACATGGCTCAAACACCTGCTGGGACAAAGAAAGGTGACTTTGAACAAATTACTACATAAACTAATGCAATGTGTGTCTAGTTATTTGGGAATTTATGTGCTTGTTTTCAGATACCAGCGTGCCTTTTCCATCTTCATACAGTCCAGATTATGTGGAGTCCTGCTGGTATCAGTGGTGGGAGAAAGAGGGATTTTTCAACCCTGACCAACATGTGAGAAATCTTAAAATATTAAAAATATATATATATATATATATATATATTGATTCAGATAAGTAAAGTGGTGACTTTTGGATGAGAAACATACTTTCTCATCCTAAATGCACAATTTAAGGAAAAATTGTTGGACATATGTGTGGTGAGGCAACCTGTTGTGTAAGCTTACCTGTATGCAAGGGGTTGGTTGGTTTGCAGTTGTATATTTTTTTGACAGTTTGTCAAGATGAAACAAAAAATAAACAGCCCAAAATTATAAATTTACCTTTAATTCCCAGGTGGCACAATCTAACTTATCCGTTGTTTTATTGTACCCTCCAAGATTGAAACCAGACATTTACATACATAATACAGAAAGACAAGTCTGCATTTTTTCCACACTGTGATGTGAAATTAGAATATACTTTTTCTGTTTTAAGTTAAGTTGGATTACAAAAAAATGTTTCTACTTGCAGAATGGTAGATAATGAGAGAGATATTTTTTTTATCTGAAAAGACATGTGTCAGCAAGGTGACCTACAGTTGGAAAGGACCAAAATTTCTGCCAACTATTGTGAGAAGCTTGTGGAAGGATGTCCATATACTAATGAAGTGTATATAAACTTTTGACTTTAAAGAAAGTAATAAAAATTGTCTTAAAAATTATCTCCCACATTATTCTGGCATTTAACAAATAGATAAAAAATGGTAATCTTAATTGACTTAAACAGGTAAGTTTATTCTGATTTTACATCAGTTTGAAAAAAATGTTTGTCTTTTTATATAATGTAACGTCTAGTTTCAACTGTGTCTTTGTAGATGTTCGAATTTGCTTTTAACATGCCCAACAAATGGCTAATAGAATATAAAATAATTATATGACAAAGCAAACCAAAGTAGAGTACAATGTTGCACCAATCTTTGTGCAACATTGTACTTAAAATACTTAAAATTGTATCTTCAAGCAATTTTAAGTTAGAAGTTAAAATTCCATTGTACAACAAAGTAATTATAAGAAGTTTTATTAACTGTAATAGTAATAACTGTGACATATTGTGAAGTAATGTCAAAAAACAATTTCCTTAATAGTCCCACCAGTACACATTGATGTTATGTGACCATGATCAAATAGATTTGAACAAAAAAGAATAGTTTCAGGGAAGAGTAAGTAAAAACACAAGTCCATGTCATATATTTGCTGAGGTTACTTTGAAAAGTAAAAGTTCAGTCCAGATATTGTCATGATTTGCGGTGAGAGGTGGTGAGGCAGGACGCTGTAGACCCAGGTAGATGAGGAATGAAGGTTTAATGATGTGTAAACGGTACAGATGATCCAAAAAACAGTCCTAAATCCCTGGCAGCACTGCTGAGCGGAAACCAGGGCTTAACATAGGTAGCGACAGGGTAAACGACAGGACTGAGAAACATGTACAGCTGACAAGATGCCAAGTGAGACGAGGCCCTGACGACAACAAAGGACACAGGTGGGATTAAATACAAGGAGACGAGACACACCTGGGAGTAATCAAGGGGCGATAGAACGACACAGACGCACAGAGACAAGTCAAAATAAATACACAGAAAAACACAGATCCTGACAGATACCTCATAAACATAGTAAAACACATTCTGATAAGTTACCTTTTGTTTTTCTTTTCAGCAAGTCTGATTTTCCTTCCAAATATTGAGTCTTTATGGGATGACAACACAATATTCTGTTAGAAAAAAAATCCTACATTATTACACTCACAAGGATGCCTGTTTTATATTTGGCATGTCACTGAACATATTTTCACACTCACTCCTTGTTTATGACAAAAACAATTTTATTCCGCACTTTGCAAGCCCCATGGTTATAGGTAAGCATGATTAAACTTGAGATTCTTGTAGTTTCCTTCCACTCATTTAAAGCACACCACTTTAAAGTTTGTCACAAAAGGATCAAAATATATTTAGACAAGTCTGTCTAAATTATATTGTGACAGTTTTGGTGCAACCTTAGGGTTTTTTTGAGTATACACACAGACAAAATTGTTGGTACTCTTTGGTTAATAAAAGAAAAATCCAATGGTCTGACAAAGGTAATAATAACAATTTAATGAAAACGAACAAATGAAAATCAGATATTGCTTTTCAAACATGCTTCAACAGAATTACATTAGAAAATAAACTCATGAAACAGGGTTGGACAAAAATGAAAATAATGTGACCAAAGAAACATGTTAAATCAAGATGTGTCCATGAATTAGCAGGTTTTTCTTTCATTAACCGAGGGGTACCAACAGCATGTTTGAAAAGCAATATCTGACTTTCATTTGTTCATTTTCATAAAATTGTTATTCATTATTACCTTTGTCAGACCATTGGATTTTTCTTTTATTAACCAAAGAGTACCAACAATTTTGTCTATGTGTGTAATTGAAATCAGTTCAGTAAGACTTTATTGTATCCACAGAGACACTGCTAAGAAGTACATGCCAATCCTAAATTTAGGCTGTTCAGTCTCATCTCACAACAACAAATGATCCAAATACAAACTTAGTCTGGACTAACTTTGTACTTTGGCAATATTGTAGTTTTGGATGTCTGTCTGTTAATGCATTGATTAATCTTTGTTATTGATTTCTATCTATGATGTATGTAAATTGTTCAGGAGAGATTGTCTCATCATGTGGATCAGACGTTTTCTTTATGTATTCCTCCGCCAAACGTGACCGGTACTCTTCATCTGGGCCATGCTCTTACTGTAGCTGTACAGGACGCTCTGGTTCGATGGTAA